AAAAAAGGTGCTCTGATGGTGCAGTGGTCAAGGCATTATGCTGTTAACCAAAAGGTTGGCAGTTCAAACCCACCAGCCACTTCATGAGAGAAAGACCAGGCAGTCTGCTTCCATAAAGATTTACAGCCTTGGAAATCCTATAGGGCTTGCTATGAGTTGAAATTGACTCAGTGGCAGTGGGTTTGGTTTTTTTTAGAAAAAGACCAAACTAGAAATGCCAAGGTAAGACGGGGCCTTGGAAGGGGACTGCAAGTGAGTGGCCCTGAGGCTTCAGCATCCTGCCCTTGAGCTGCCCCTAGGGTGGGCCCAGGGTGAGAGGGGTCCCCCACTTGCACTTGCTGTTCAGACTTTGCTGAAGAGCCCTGGTCTGGCTGGGTCCTGCAGTGGGAGAACATGCTGAAGGCCATCAGGGCCAGGCTGGCTTTCTCTCCTTTGATGTCTCCAGGTGATGCCTGATGCTTGAACACAGGGAATAGCAGAGGTTGCAGGTTCAAAGGGGCCTTGAGAACCCAGATGTGGGGAAAGAGGCCTGGGATGGGCTGGTGCTGAGACCAAGGCGCGCCCTGACCCTGGCTTTGTGCTGGCAGGTGGAAAACCTGAAGGAGAAGCTCCTTAGGCAGGCCCAGGAAGTGAGCCATCTTCCCTCAGAGCCGGTGAGCCTCACCAACATCCCCGGTGTGTGTGGGGGGCAGCGAGGGCCAGCCCGGCCCCGTGCAGACTGGCCCTTGCCGGTGCGGGTGCCACCCTGTCTCTCCCTAGCCCTTGCCTCCAACCAAGCCACACTGCGTCCTGGCCAAGTAGACCACCAGTTTGTCTAGGATCCATACCTAGAACATTTCTCACCACTGAGAGTGCCCTCAGAGGTCGTGTGACTCGAAAGGGAGGGGGTTAACTCCCATTGGCTGACGTAAAATAGGAGTGTGAACTCTTGTGTATAAATATGACTTTTCCTTGTTACTTTCACACTCGGGAGAATGGAGGGGGGCAGGAGAGAGCAGTCCCGGCTTCGCCCCCCTTCTCGCGCTCCCCCCACTGTCTTGTCTCTGTTTCTTTCGTGAGCCCTTCTCTCCCCTCATTTTTCTTTTTCTCCCGCTCTGTCCGCTCTACCGCTCCTCTCCCTGGCGCGCTCTCTGCCTCCCTCGGCCTTTCTCCTCGCTGTCCTGCCCTCCCACATGCCCCCTTGGCTCTGGCTCTCTGCAGGGAGGCACCGACTTGGAGAAGCACCGGGACCTGCTCATGGGGGAGAATGAGCGACTGAGGCAGGAGATGCGACGCTGCGAGGCAGAGCTGCAGGAGCTGCGGGCGAAGCCAGGGGCGGCCTGCCCGGGCTGCGAGCACAGCCAGGTGAGCAGGCTGGG